TTCTCGGAGGTGAACCACCAGTGAACCGGACATGCAGGAGCTCTATCAAAAGTGGGGCGGAGTTCAGTCAATTTGCCAGCCTCTCGAGCGGCTGGAACTCGTGTCGAACTCTGAAAACCCGGCGAGCCCAATACCCCTTAAGTAAGCAACAAGGTGCTCAATATTACAGGGCATATTTCTTAATTAAGTGGGGTCCGAATCTCTGGGAAGATGTTACCGGTTAGCATGAAACAGGCGCAGCTTCTTCTGTTTCACTTGGCGGGTGGTCAAGCTTCCGAAGTGAAGTGTCCGCGCATGTGGAGCTGCGCCTACCTCGACTGTCAGGAATCTTGATGCGAAGCGGGCAGTGTTGCACGTTTGACTACCAGGTGTTCGCACCCGCAGTCGGTCAGTCCGTCCGTCGGTCAGTGCTGCTTCAGCGGAACGAGCAGCGAGGCCAATGAGACGAAGCAAAGCTGATGCACACGGCTTGTGCATCCGGAAGGTCTTGACGCTTTGGGTCTTTTCCTCAATTCTCTAGCTCCGGGATGCTTTGGCTGTTTAACCAGCTGTCAGTAACTGCGATGGACGGTCAGGAGACGGCGATAGAGCTACGACGACGAACCGTCGGGAGTGCGACAAGCAGAACCTTGGTCTGGGAAGAGTCTTCGCGGGCTGTTCTTTGTGAATTTGTGGCAGCTTTCTCATTCCTTACCGTCTTCATCCAGGTTTCCCAGGAGGAGCGCTGACTCGGTTTCGGCTCCCCAGCCCAGGCACCCGCAGAACGGCAGATTCCTCAGCACCGCGTCTGGGTTCAAGGTGAGGACTTGGGAACCCTCCCCTCAGGGTGGTTGCGGATATGGTGTGGGCCAAGTCTTAGTCACCACAAGGGGAGTGTGCATGGGTCAGCGGCTTGTCTCTTTGCGAACATGAGCTTCGGGCTGTCAGTATTTTGTGGATAGGTCTTGTTGCATGCTTTGCATTCTTCCATGCAGCGAACTTCTTGGACCGCAAAGCCGCCTCTGCGGGCAGGAAGACCTACAGGACGATGATGCAACTCCAGGTGTTGGACATCTGAAGAGGCTTCCAGCTGTCCTTCCAAGCGAGACAACTACAGACTTTAAGCTCTAGACACTGTAGACCAAGGAATGTAGGGTGGTGTGACTTGAGCGTAAAACTGCGAATTTGGTATCAACATTATCTCAGTCAGTAGTAATGAGCTGGTTTCTTTCTTGATTGATATCTACGGTCCTAGCCACTGCAGCAAGGGATATGCAAGGCCACGAGATCCAGCAACGCTTGCACTTTCATGACTAAACTTTGGAATTGGGATAGCCGGCCGTCGGACCTGTTTGGTAGCTCTTACAGCGCAGCTTGGGGGGCTGCAGGAGGTGTAGTGCTGAGCCTTGGTGCTGGTGGTTTCCATCGTACCAAGGCTCAGCGTCTCTCGTACTTGCATGTTCATCCCTGGCAAGCAGTGGGTGCAGCCAGACCCCTTAGACTGCCGGCTTTCCCTTCGTCATGGGCGAGGTATACTACCGTGAGCCTTAACATCCCTTCATTTGCCCTTGCTCCTGGTCCTGGACCATGCCCGCACCACCGTCCCGCCGCCCCCTTGATTCTACATCATTGGAGGTTTGAAGCTTCCTGCATCTGCTCGAGCCTCGAGCGTGCTGAGTGTAGGACGTTGCACAGCGATCCTTACTTGCGGGTATTGCCAGCTCTTCGTGGAAAGCTTGACTTGCTAGCATCGCACCATAGCTTGCCTTGTGAGAGTGGCGGGCTCGAGCAGTGTGAGGCCTCGTGGACAGCGGGGCTGAGGGCTGAGGACGGGGGGCGCCTGGCGGGCGGCATGGTGCGATGCTAGCAAGTCAAGCTTTCCATGAAGAGCTGGCAATACCCGCAAGTAAGGATCGCTATGCAACGTCCTACACTCAGCACGCTCGAGGCTCGAGCAGATGCATGGGGTGTGTGGGCATGGACTGGTGGGGCTGCAGTGGCTGTGATGGATTTGGGAGGGCGGCGACAGCAATTTCGCACTTATCGACATATCTATCTAGCTTGCATGATGGAAATTGAAGTTCTTGTGGCCTTGCAGCCCAAATTGCTTTGTCAGTGAGGTTAATGACCCGGATGCCGCAGAGTCCTATAGGTGGTCTGCCAGGCGTCCCAGGACATCGAAAGCGATCTCACACACTGCCATGATTGTAATCGTAACAAAGCTCCAGAACTTGTGCAGCTTCACAAGTGCCCATGCTGTGTGACTGGAAGCCTCGCACACATCTGGTGGAACCATGCGGCCTTCTGAAAGTCATTACAATCTATGTAGCTGCTTCGTTGTGTGTCAGAATGCCGTGGAAGGCAGGCCCTGTGCCGAAGTTTGCCTCACCTTACCTTAGCGGGGAGCGGAATGCTGGCGTTTCCGGCTGCAGCATCTCGTCTCAGCGCACGATGCTGAAAAGCCTGGCCACGGTTCGTGGGGCATGTTGTGTCTAGGGCCTAGGGGCCGCTTATTGCTCAGGGTCCGAGTTGCGAAGTCTACAAAGTGCAATGAGTGCAATCTGTTTTGCAATGGACCGCACTGGAATTACTGGCTCTGTGCCCCGTGCCTTTGCTTCGCTGGGCCCTGCTCAGGCTTGCCGGGTCCGCTTGCTACCCCAAACCGCATGATTGTTCCTGCCGCTCGTGCCACTGCGCCCTGACAAGTTCTCACACTTGCGTGACCAGCGTTGCACTGCACGCTCACAAGGGTTGAGGCATGTCGTACAATGATCGTTCTACACTACACCCTGGGTTGACCTTACAGGCACACTCACTTTTGGACCTCAAACCATTCTGTGAAGATCTTGCTTCTGCAACTTGCCTCTAACAGATTGCATAGGGCTCAGGTACACCGCCTACAGGCCTCTTCCAATCCCAAATGTGGGCCTCCTAAGTTCAGTACAATGTGCTCCCGAGCCGCTGCAAAGCCATGGCACCGCGAGAGGCTGCGATTACCCAGGTTCACAGGGGTGTGCACCGGCGCAGGGTCGCTTGGTGGTCGATCAGCTGATTCAATCACAATCTTGTCAGATGTTCACCCTGTCGTATAGAGCATGCCTCAGCTGAAGCATATTTTGGCAGGGGACGACAACTCCTCTTGCTCTCTTTGCTCGCTATGGTGCTTTGTCCGAGGCAGGCATACATTGGAACATAGACAAAGGGTTTTCATCGCCACGAAAAGAACGCCTTGCTCGTCAATGTAGGAATCTTGAGGGAGAGCATCTGTAGACATTCAATCATGGCTCAGTTTCTCGATGCAGATTTGATGTGATGAAGTGAAGCAGCTATAGCCATATTGCTTGGCCAGCTAAAGCTGCGTGGACGACGGTTTCTGATTGAGTTCTGGCTCCAGTAGCAAGGGTTCCCTAAATCCAAACATGCAATATGAACCCTGAGAGCATCTTTGCACCAGAGACAGAGACATGGGAGGCCTCCATCGGCCTTTGCAGAGGTCGCGCCAGGCCCGAAAGATACCCAGTGCTGGGGAATGGGGGAGGTGGCAAGGCAGCGGCGCAGGCTACGTAGGCTAAGGTGTGAGCATATAGACGCACAGACAGACCTTCCCGACCGTCTGGTGGTCAGTTCCAAGCGAAAGAAGCCTGAACCCCTGAGCTACACGAATGGCTCCTCCGACAAGCGCAAACGCCAGAGTTGCCAAACTGGTATGGACTGTAACTTTGCCGTTGTCCAGAGAGGGATCCTTCATGTCCGTTGATGCCATGCTTGCAGATTCGATCCCAGTCTGTGGCACAGGAGATGGCGAGACTCGCAGCGTTGACCGTCTGATGATGAAGGCGGGCGTGGCCTGGGGGTTGCAGGAAGCGCCAGAGTCACTGGAGTTTAGGATCCCTTCCAGGCAGGGCTCCTTGTTCCGAACAAGCTTCTTCTAAGAATGGAGTTCTGAGAAGGTCCAGTTCGCAGAGCAGTGCGAAATTGGATTCGAAGCCACCCCAGATGCTGCCAGCAGCTCCCACATGCAGCTTGTCTAGACGCTGGTGTGCAGAACAGTGCCGTGTGCCACTGGTAAACCTTTGCCTAAGCTGCACCTTCGAAATTGAAAAGACCTTGAAAACTCACACATAGGCGCCCCAAATCCTCAACATCCTGAGGCCTAGGCCTACACACCACGAACCAGAATTGTGGATATTCTCAAGCAAACAGCTTTGGGTTTTGTCGCGGTTTAGGTTTCAAGTTTCCGGTGTTGTGGTTGAGAGTGTTTGGGGCTTGCAGCGCTGCATGTGTGTTGGATTTCGGGTCAAAGTGCTTGCAATGTTGTCTATATAGATATAGCCCATCTCTGTGCACGAAAACCGTGGCAACCTATCAGGTCCTTACCTCCGACGGTACCCGCCCCAGCATCTTTCCAGTTCTGGCTTCTGCGTTGGCAGCCATGGATTCCACGAAGCAAGCTCGTGATCCTCCGGCAATGATATAAGAGTGAATGCAATGTCGTGTGGCCCAGAGCCAAATGGTCTTGAAGAGGCGGAACCAACAGCCCGCAGCATCCAATCTCCCTTATTTCGGCAGCACCAAGCCAGGTAGAACAGCATGGCGTAGGTCTAGAAGTGTTTCCGTGAGAATGCTGGGGCTGGGTGCCGCGTGTCGTGTTTGCACGGCTCGCGCTTATCAACCCGCTCACGTTTCCCTTGGCAACCTTTAACATTTCACGTCCACTACCTTTCTCCATAGCCAGACCGTCCCCCCAGCCCAAGAGAGTCAGCAAGACTCGGTTGCTCGAACTTTCTACCCGTTCTACAAGCACGAGACGTGGACCAAACAAGCCCTAACAAGCGATGTCATGAACCCCACGTCCAGATCCCGGCTCCCGCATTGTTTGTGTCGCTCTCAACTGCTTTTCTTGTCGATGTGGGTGATCAAAACTGTTGTCATCGCTGTGCTCTTATACCCGTTGATTTCATTAGTTCTTCGTTGTTGTAAGATGCTTCTGCTTCATTCCTCGGATCATGTCGCGGCTTCAGGCTTCCAGGTCAAAACCATGGTCTCGTCAGTGTCGCTGTCCGGGACCTGGCGAGCCGCGAGGGGCGTTAGGCTTTTTGTCGTTTCGGGGCTTTTTAGGGATTTTGGGCACGGAGCCTTCGATTGAAAATGTGGCCCGTGGCCTCCGAACCAAAGCCACTGGGACCCCATACTCAGAAGCTGGAAGCCCGAAATTCAAGGCACAATAGAAAACCCTCAGACCATGAGTCAAGCCTGAGGCACTCAGAAGTTGTAAACTCCCTTAAGCTTTACATGCCTATCCGCAAAAAGCCAGTAAACCACTTAGGCTGCACCTTTCAAGCTTAACACGGAATGTTCTGGTCCATTGCAAGGCCTGGGGTGGAGGGGCGGCTGGGCATTCTCCGGGCGCCGCACTTAGCTTGAACCTCGCTTAGCGGAGGCCATGTAGGCTTATTTATAGAGTGGCACATTAGGGTTGAGAGTCTTCCTGACGAACCCTTTAGGGCTATCAAACCTGCGCACTCTGTTTCGAATTAGGGCCTTCGGTACTCTAAGCCAAGCCACCAAGACGCTGTACCGTAGTCTGAAGTGGCCACCGTCAGCCCCAGGGCCATGCGCCCATGCTTGCGCCCCTGGCCTACGGGCTGCTCCGGTATCGCCGGCAGGGGGAGTGGGCCGGGAGCCTCGGGGCAAGGACTTCAGCTGAGAGTATTCGTAAACAACTCGTACTTCCTTGGTTTTGGGTTAATAAAAAAAGCAGAGGATCCGTTTCGGTGGGCCATGGGTGCAGCTAGGGCCATGGGTCGAGTCTAGTGCCCATTTAGCTGAATTTACGATACTCAGGGAAGCGAAGAGATGCTGAGCCACGTCGGGCTACAGGAAGAAGGGTGAGACCGCACTTGTTCTTCTTCTTCTTGTTTTTTTGTTGGTGCTGCTGCTGCTGCTGCTGCTGGTGATGGTGTTGCTGTTGTTGTTGTTGGTGGTGGTGGTGGTCGTCGTCTTTGTTCGATTCGAACCTGCATTGTCTAGTAACAGTCTAGTACGTTTGATGAGGATGTTGTCCTTTCTGTTGGTGACGACGTTGTTGCCGATGATGACGATCATCACGACGACGACGTGAACGACCCGTTCTGCCGCTTTGTCCATGAGGTGCCCATGGTACTCCGCGGCGGCTTTGCCACCGTGCAAAACAACGTGGCAACCTGGCACTGAAACAGTTGTTGTGGGTTTCTGCCTTGTGCGCCCCTGAAGCTCTCACGCACTGGGAGCTTCCGGAGATGCTTGGGTTTTGATGCCCCGCTGAAAAAATCACGTTCGCCGCTACGGCTTTTTCTTGACATGACAGCCATCCAGAGACAGCCTGCTGGGATCATGGGTCTCTTTATAGGGCAGCTGCCGCCTGGCTGTTCTGCCGTGGCAACATCTGGTTGCAGGTCACTATCTTGACCACCGCCTGCGAGCGGAAGAATGAGATACCTGTGATCGAGGCTTTCGGGATCTGAAGCGTGCACAACACCCTTTTGAACCATGTGAAGTCGGTCGGACCTAATGGCCCTCCCTTCGTCATGAGGGTTCACTCATACTCACTCAGGGACTGCAAATGAAGTCTTCTAAGAGGATTTGGGGGCCCTGCATGTCAGTGAGGATGCCCGGCAAGCGCTGGAAGAGGCAACGAACGCCTTTACCGAGGCATCCACAAGGAGTGCTTGCTTCGTGGTGTGAACACAGGCTTTTGAAGCGCATTGGCTCCGACTGTTCCTTCGTCGTTCATGGCGCAACACGACTCTCTAAGGAGAACCCATGCATCCGAAGTCCTCATGTGCCCCTCAAGATGTTGATTGAACAGAACCAAACGCAGCTGCAATGCGGCACCAATTTCCTCTAGATTCTCCGATTCCTCGATTTACTTGCTATTGATCTTTGGGCTCTCTTGAGTTATCAAGCCAATGACAGAGATAGCGTTGCACCCAGCTCGCAGGACGGAGCGGCTGGCGGCGGCGGATGCCTTGAAGCTGGCCTCTGCCCGTCTGCAGGCCGAATCGTTCACGCTGTTTGGTTAGGCTGGTTGGTTCAGGCAGCTTTGCCGGGCGGGGTGAAGGCCAAGAAGCAGGAGACACTGTAGATGTCCTGCTGCAAGAGCACCACCCAGTGAATCCGTAGTTGTAGGGCACCAAGCCAGAACTTTCAGTTGTAGCGGAACACCTAAATATTGAATCGTGCAAACCGAGGACCCCATGGGTTTAGGGTTTAGACTCCTCGTGTGTCTGCGCGTGTGTGCCTGAGCATACGTGCTTGTCCTGTTTTCTGGTCTCTATCAAGGGCTAGTTTCGAGATCTTCTGGTCCAGCAGTGAACCACTTCTGCAGCTTCCCGGGCCTTGATTAATTTTGCTTTGCATAGAACCTCGAGTGTAGGACTTATAGGAAGCTTGCAGTGTGGCAGATTGCGAACACAAGTGCATCGGAGGCGGCCATGTTGCTGGCGAAAGCCAAGTAGTGGGAGCCTCAGTTTGTTGCTGATTCAGGTTGGAGCACGTGGGCGCTGTTTGCTGAACTAGAATAATATTCCACTTGTTTGCCATTGATCGTGATTCATTATGGATGGAGTTTCCGGGATCAGCTCCTGCGCATGAACTTGGATACAGCCCAGCAGGTCAGCTTTGGTGAATTATGCGTCAAGACCAATCACTGTAGAGAACTCACTCCAACAGTCGAGCACACTTGCCGCACGCCGCCCCTCTTAATTCTCCCTTCCCTCCGCCTACGGCCTACTCATCCCCCCCATCTGCTGTGTTGAAGGCTGTCCTATTGCCTTCCTTCCCCCGCAGGCTCGTGGTACTGGCACAAGTGTAATAATCAGGAAAGGAACAGTTTTCTTCGTTTCCAGCGAGTACACGCGGCACGCCGCCCATGCTTCTCTCACTCCTCCCCCATCCCCCCGCCGTCCTTCCGCGCCCTTCATCCTCTTTTCCTTCGCTTTTCAGGGAGCACATTGGCCACACACCGCTCTTCTTCCTTCTCCTCCCCGAGCCCTCATCCCCCCTTCTGCTCCCTTCAAGCTCTTATCCACTGTAGCTGTAGCCGTAACCCGCAGATTGCGCAGGGGCCAACAACAGAAATGGAATCTGTAAGTTCCAAGCATCTGCAACCATTTTGGAGGTTTGTGCAGTACATAGCCTCAGGCAAGATCGCGTTCCACGGTTCCACTGTGCCGCGGCACCTTGGCCCTGACGTTTTGGCACAGATCCGATCAGTTGCCCAGCCCGATCCCCGCAGCCCTAAAGTCGGTAGTCGCTCTGTCGAGGGTAACACATCAAACAGTTCGGACATATGAGGTCTCCTCTGTAAACCTTGAGCTTTGTTGGATTTCGACCGCTGGTTCCTGTAGAATGTGCTCCACATCGGTAAATGCCGTTTCTGATACTGTGTAGCCCAGGCTTCTTTCTGAACAGGCCAGGACGAGCTTTGCGGAGCAATAGGTGCATGCCGAGAGAATGTATCTTCCTCTTCGTGGCTGTTGAAATGTGCATCCTGGTGGCTGCTCATGCTCTTTTGTTACAAAAANNTGTCTCTCTGTGTGTGTGTGTATGTGTCAGGGTCTTACGGGCGTAAGCGGTTTAGGCATCGCTTTGTCCCTTCTCGAAGCGCTCAACGCGCCTACATTCCCACCTCTACAAACACTGACCGACCCCAGAACTCCAAGCACAAACGAAACTACGACCGAATGCAAGGATTCCTCTGGAATTCGCTGGGAAGTTTTGGGCAGAGCTGGCTGGCACGCTCTTGGAATGCTGCCCTCACAGACTTATAGGTTCAGGTTTATGGATGTGATGCGGCATAAGAAATCCTGTCACAGTGGCAGTGTAGATAGGTGTGGCATGAAGAGGTACTATGGCTTTCAGCGGTTTTCAGCGTGTATCAGACAGTGAGGGGAAGCCAGGAAACAGAAGTGATCGCGCTCGATGTTACCGCAGCAAATCGTTTCTTCAAATACTTGGGGCTATGGCAGGAGGGGCCTCGATATGATTCTACAAGGGCATGTACAGACCAGCGTGTTTCGGCCCGCTCAGAGATTGTTGAGTCTGCTCCAGCTCCGGCACGTTTGTGAGTCTATGACGAGTTGACTTGGGTTCGGGCTTGCACATACTGTATACAGCTTTCTGCAGGCTTTTGGCAATTTTCCGTCTGACAGTCTCAGCACGGACTGTCTTCCAGACATTTCCAGTAGCCAATGGGGCCCTGTAGCCGAAAGAAGTTCCAAGCGGAGCAGGCTGATTGTTGACCCCGCTTACTGGGAACGCTCGCGAATGCCGGGCGTTTCCATGTCGCGTGGTGCTCCTGACGCAAAGCTACCAACCTCGGAAAAGTCTGGTTCGGAGCCGCTCATGTGGAGTAAGCACTCTTGTCACCAGCGTGGCACATTGAGAGTCAGGGGCACTGGATGCTTTATATTTATTTGAAGTTTTGATCCCCGTTCTGAGACGAAGGGAGTTGTCGGTGCCTGGATGACTGTCAGCAGTACTACCTCTGACCATACACCGAGCTCTCGGATCGTAACACTTCGATGCCACGAGAGTGTCCTGCCTAATTCCATCCAATGTTTGTGACAGCCGGCTGGCAGGGGCAGCAGCGCCCGTGATACCGTAAATTACGAGAGTTGCCACGCATGCTCACCAAAGTAAATGAAATTCACCGGGCAGCAGGTTGCCGATCAACTCCGCTTACTCTGCCCACCTGGTCGGCAGGTTCGGAGTGAGACCATCAGCTTTACCGAACTTAGCGAAAGAGAGGAAGCACCCAGGCTTCCCACGTCGGGTCAGCTTGGACGCCGGAGTTTCGTCCTTCAGGAAACACTGTGTCGCATCTGCAGCTCCGAGCCTGTCAGATCAGTGGACCCTTAGCAATACTTCCCGGAGCCGGCTTCCGTGGCCACCTGGCGCACTCTTTGCAGCTGACTAGCTCAACTACAGGCTTAATGTGCAATCCAATCAGGTTTAGGAGGAAGCTGCAAGTTTGTTCCAGCGGGCTGACAATGGAAGGGCGAGACATCCAGTATCTCCAAAACGAGTGTGCCTTGACCGAACACTTGCATACTCTTGCGCAGGCAGGTGATGCCCGCAGCCTTTGCCAAATGTCAGTTCCACCGTAGCTCATCAGTCTCTCCTGAAAGCTGCGGTACTAGACCCTAAGAGCTAAACCGTTGACGCAAAGTTGAGACCTCGAAACACTGGGGCAATTCCCAGGCGTGCACCTGTCAACTCTGAAACCTCTCCATACTTCCTACACAGCCTGAGAGCTCAATACATCTAGCCTTGAACCCTATAAGGGCAGAAGCCTGACCCACAAACCTCAACTCTGAGTCCCCCGGCCCCCAGCGAAAAGATCAGAAAGGAGGCTGCAAACCTTACCTTACTGTCCCAAAACAACAGGGCCTCTGCGCTTTCAGCCCGACTTGCACGTCAGTGCAAGCAGAAGCAGCCATGGCGCGCCGCACCAGAAGCACTGCAGGCATTTGGGGAGTAGGGGAACGGGGATCTCTACCTGGTCTGGTCTGGGTCTCGGAATGGCACCAAAACCGGGCTGGGAGATGTTCGAGGTTGAGGCTTCAAGCCCAAGACTCCAAGGTTTAGCCAGGAGACGGGCAGAGAGTCTTATCAAGTTGTTAGGAGTATGCGATGGTGATGCTGTCCGATGATGGTCGGTAAGATTCTTGAGACCATGTGCGACAAGCCGGAAAGAGCTTGACCCTTAGACCACCACTGCTTCATGCTCTACAGATCCGTAATCATGGGGTTGCTGCCAAGGTCTGGCTGGTTGCAGCTTGCCTGCAAACATCTTGTGGGGTCACGGTTCCTACCAGTAGTAGTGCGCTTTCCACATGTACCTTTAATGCCTTGCACAGCACTGGCATGAGACGTGCAAACAGGGCCGAGGGGTTCGGTTTTCAAGCTGCAGTTCTCAGTACAATTGATGCGAACGACAAAACCAATCTCACAGGACGTGTTGGGTTTCAGCGACTTAGAGTGACTACGCAGAGTCAAGAGGACCGAAGACTCGGGTTCTCCTGTACCTTAAAAAAAATTCTGGCATCCGCTCGGCCTGGCGATGGGCTATACCGGGCACGGAAGCTCCAAACAAGGGTCTTTGTGTGGCTTAGAGTAACGGGCTGCATTGAGGCCTGAAGCGCTTCTTCATGTCGGCCAGCATCACAGCTATTGTCCTCTTCCTCTTGCGTGGTGCGCTCCACTTCTCTGGGGTGCCTGAGCTTGATATGTGAAGCAACAAAGCAGGGCTAAAATGTTGGTTTTTGCCGAGTAAGAGAGACCCCTGCTCGTGTAGGAGCTTTCGGTAGAGCCCGTGTTGCATCGAGTTTCCGGGCGCCGCCGAGACACGAGGCCGCTCCAGACCAACCAGCCGAGCCAGCTGCCAATGGCTCGCCACTGCCGCCCCCGGCGCCGGAGGCGGAAATCACGGCCACATCAGCCGCATCTGTGGCCCCAGTTGCCCAGTTCACCCCAGAGGCCGGACATACCAACACGTGCGCACACACACACACACACTGTATGTATGTATGTATGTATGTACGTATGTATGTATGTATGTATGTATGTATGTATGTATGTATATGTGTATATGTGTATATGTGTATATGTGTGTATATATATATGTATATATATATAGATAGGTATATACATACATATACACACATGCTTTTTGCGTATTGTTTATGCAGATACACCTAGTATGTCCTTGTGCACGCGTGCATGGATGGATGGGTGTGTGCATCTCGTGGCAGTTGTCGCGGAGTCTTGATTCCATTCAAGCTTACGTAGGACTGTCGGAGGAGTAGGAAAACCTTTAGGCAGCGCAGCCAACTCTCGGTGATGTCTCGCTTTCCGCTTTCTCTTGCTGCAGGCATCTGCGGAGGCCACGAAAACTGAAGCAGCAACTGCTGCCCCAGTCGTTCAGAAGAAGGCGGCGGGGAAGCATGTGGTGGCATGTTTTTGAAGTATAGAACAGAAACAGAAACGCTCGACATGAACCCTTACAGTTGCAAAGTCCCGGAAGTCCCCGCCCAGCACAGGAATGTGCAGAACTCTGCTTATTTGCATGGTGCTGTCGCATACTAAGGACAACACTGTTCGTAGCAAAGAAAGGGGTTCACGTCCTGTTGCTTTCTTGTCCATCAACATCTCTGTCCCAGAGCGTGCGTGCTCACGAGATCGACGAGCATGTGTCACTGTCCGGTCGTGGATCTAGCAAAACTCTGGCTGTGATCGGGTGTTGAAGGTGGTGGTGGTGGTGGTGGCGGTGGCGGTGGTGGTTGTGGTGGCGGCATGTGGTAATGATTGGTCCGCCAGGAGAGCAGCAGGCGTAGCAGCAGTGGCGGCAACAAGAACAGGAACAGGAAAAGCGGCAGCGGCATCACCAGCAGGAAGAGGAACAGCAAAAGAAAAGGAACACAGATGTTACACTTACAAAGCTCCTTAAAACGAAGCCAGCACTGCTCTCCTCCCTACCTCCACAGGGCTGGGAGCTACATCAGCTGCCAATCATCCAGGGTTGCGTGTCGCTCTGCTGCCTTCATGATTTTCAGTTCGAGTTTCTGCGCCACAACTTCGTGCCATACAGGTGAAGCTTGAGCACGCGAGCTCAGGGAGCATAAGATGGGACTGGACCGTTGGGTGACTGTGTGTTGAAGCTGCCAACGGGTTTGCCGCATCCCAAGTGTCTCAGTAGCTGCATTCCTGAACTGAAATGCTTCGCCAGCCTGAAGCTGGATCGCAGCCTCACCTCCTGCCCTTGCCTTGCATGTGAGGCACTGCTGCAGTGAGGACGTCACCAGGGAAGTCAGCCCAAACCAGTCACCATCATGCTGGGATGAAAGGCTTCGGATGATGCCTCAGCCTGTTTGCTGGGCTAGGGCTCAAACACCCGGAAAAGGGTTGCCTCGGTAGTGAGGAGATGTTTAAAGTATGAGGGCAAAGTCCGTAGTTTGTGCATAGTTTGCCAATCGCAACTCTGTCGAACCTGTAGTGCGCCAGCGGAAGAATCAAATCTTCGGCTCTGTCCCTTGAAGATGCAATTCCAAACACCGTTTCAACATTGTCGATGTACACTCGGTGACGCAGACAAGCTTGCTCTTAGATCCTTTCCACTCCAGGTGATGGCAAGCTCCCCAGTACTAGAGCTGCTAAATGGTCCGTAACAATATCCAGTGCTTGGTCTTGCAGAATACAATACCGCCTCAGACTTGAATTCAGCCTTCTGAAAGCCATGAATCTTGGTGAACCGAATTCAGCCCCAAACACTTCAGCAACAAAACCCAGCGACAAAATCACGCTGCTTTCGTTCCTTTCGAGTTCTCGGAGGACGACCATAATGCCCCGTGCCTCGATGTGGAGCTCTGCGCCGCCTCGGGACCCGAGAAAGGCCCACAGTCTGTGCTGGGCAGCGGTGGGTTGGATCTGTCCGCAATAGGCGCGTTAGTTCGTCTGAGAGGTCGGCTTTGAAAAAGTCTGTAATTAGAGAATTTAACTTTGGAGAGTCCCATACTCAGCAGGTTTCAGGGAAACTAAACTTGAGACCATGGGCCACTACAAAGAAGGCGTGTAGACACGGCCAGGTAAATGAATATAGATACTCCTTTACGTACATGCACCGTCTGTGGAATCTTGGGCTCGAGTGCCTGGGTTCTCGGGTGGAGGGCTTCGGCTGTCAGAGCCGAGCGATAAGGCTGGTAAAGAAGCGCTTCACTTCATTTCAGATTTGTTGTGCCCAAGGGCCTTACACCCCCAGGTCCCGCACCCGAGATCCGTGGAACGTTGAGATGTTTCGGCTGAGGCAAGTATGCCCTGGCCCTGAGCCATTGGGGGCGACCCAATGAGGCCGAGTCAATCTCGTCACGTGCAGAGAGAAAGGCCTTCTGCTAGATCCTCAAACCATCTCGAACCTAAACCTCAATCTCAGCACGTGACCGAGACCGAAGAGCTGCAGCCAGAAGCTCTTCAGGGAGATTCGTCCGTGCTTCGAGGTAGCCCTTCCTAAAAGGCGTCGTAGTTCGGTAGCGCTGGGCGACTTGTGCTTGCCCGACGGGTTCTAGTCGTCCCGAAGACGTTGCCGAAGAGAGGTCTTTCTTTGGGCCCCCGCTCCGGGTCAGGGCATGCTCGGATCCATCAAGTCGATGCGGGCTGCTGCAGACCTGCTTGGGAACACCGACATTTACATGGTGACTCGTTTGCATCTCGACATTGTCAAAAGCGGCAACTGGCATGCATGAAGATAGCAAGTCAATCTGGAAGATTCCGAAGCACCAGAGGCAAGGGTAACAACAGCTTCGGGTGTCTCCCCCAAAGCATTCGCATGGTGAGGTGATGCTAGAGACAGACGCTGAGCAGATGACCCCCAAGCTCCACAAGATCTTCGCCAAGTGGGGCGTGAAGCTGTGCCTGGATCGATCACATGAGAAGACATTCAGCCCTTTAGCCCAGATCTCGCACTAGGCTCTGCAGTAGTCGCATTCGAGGTATCCAGTAAAATGGGACGTCCCACCGGAAATGAAGTTCTACCCAAAGACGGAGCCTTGCCTGCAAGACGTCAGAGACCGAACCAATTGCTTTGCGTGAAGCGGGACAGTGGAACACTCATGAACACTCCGTTGTAGCCTTCTTCCTGTTATTGTACTGCGATTTTTGGAACCACGAACCTGACTCCGCAGGAGCCAACAAGATCGGCGTATGTCGGCTTGCAACCCAAAACTGGTGTAAACCCGGTAGACGCCTGAGTGTCCCGTGCTCATGAGGACTGGTGCGGCCATCAAGACTTGATTCGGCTCAATGTCCTTGGCATTGAAGGCTATGATGCCGTGGCCTACTTTGACGGAGACTGCGAGTTTCAGGCCGATCGTTCCGTCTTGGAGGGTTTCGACTAGCCGACTAGCCTGCTGTCCCGAACGGTCTCCGACCTCAAACGTCTACGGAATGTCTGCTGGAGTTGCAAGAACCATCTTCCAAAAAGCCAGCAGGGCGACATCACACCGATGATGCGCTGCGCGGCTACGGGAATGTTTCTCAGCACCAGCGGGGGCGACTTCTTCTGCAATTGCCATGTCTGGGTGGGAATCATCTAAACTCTCAAGAGGGCTTGATTTGGAAGGTGCTATCGCAGATCGGTCCCTAATGTCAGGGACTGGCACGAGCCCTTCTGTAGCAAATTGCCACACTGGGCAAGGAATGGGCGAATCACTCAACGTGGGTTTCTTTGCTGTGCGTCCTGACAAGCGCATTGTGGATGCTGCAGCCGCTTGAATGAAAGCTAGCCCACGGTGCCGTCTGCTGCAATTCAAGCTTTCGTTCTCCAAGATCTTTAGTGTCACTTTCCACACACTTAAGTTTCCTGGAGGTCTTGCGTCAAGTCGCTGTACACCTGGACAAGGGGGATAGAGGGAGATCGTTCTGAAGCCTGGCGTTCAGCAATTCAGGGGAGCGAGCGGTAGGATTGCCCAAAGTACTGGAGTTCGGGGAGCTGAGATCGCTACCTGAAGAATTCTCAGGGGCCTTCGACTCCCTTTGCTTTTGGAGGCACATGGAGCAGTGAGCACCCAGAGTCAGCACTCGCTGAGGTTTACTTTGCCCGGGAGAACGCCTTCGATCGCGAGACTCGGACTGCATGAGACTGCATCACCTTGAAGCTGTCCCAACTGGAAGCATCTGCCGTGTTTCTGCAAAAAGCACGGGACCCGTGGATCAACAACGCCGTGCTCCTGGCCACCGGGAGAGCTCGGCTCAGATCTCGGTAGCGGCCTCAGCTTGCGATTTATGCAGCGCGAAGCCAAGGGCACTGGCTGGGGCGGCATCGGCTGGGCCCCAACTGGCGGATACTACGTTGGTGACCTGGCTGAGCACGCAAGCACTCGAAGCAGTAGCGAGTCGTCGTGTTCATCGTCGGGGGGGCAGTACTGGCAGTGACGAAGGCCAACTGCGTCTGCAATGTGTGTATGACAATGACTGAAAGGCAGGCTTCTGTCCATCAGCAGCGGTACCTCGAGTCATTATCATTAGAAGAATGATCATGGCAGTCATATAGCTGTCATAGCAACAGACAGCACTGGAGTTAGTGTGCTGCATGACAGTCCCAGCTCCCACCTGCAGCCCGTAAGGTGGTGAATGTGGACAGGGCTTCTTCTATACGCTCTTCCACAGACGGGCGGAAAACAGCCGCCGAGTTTCCCGGACTTGAGAAGATCTCTGCGCTTTGATACAGATCAGGCGGTGTTGAGTCTGTGGGTTGCCGCACAGATGTTTAGAATTTAGAGTGTTTACTTGAGCCTGGTGTGTGTGCTACGAATTGCAAGAGGTTCCCAGATGAGTAGTTATTTCTAGGGCACCGGCTCTTGTCCAGAGGTGATGTGCTTCAACTGCGAGAGCATAGGCATAGACTTATCGACCCAAAAAGCTTGAACACATTGACCAACTCGCCAAAGCTCATCCCTTGGCTGCACATTCAGCCCTTAGCAGTCACCTCACTTTCCTGGATTCCATGAACCACGACAAACTCCTGAAGCAACCCTTCGCTCAACTCTCTGAGCCCGAGGCGCTGTCGAGCGTGGGGCTCTGGGAGACCTGGCGATCCGGGCAGCTTTTTGGCTTTCGTTTTCTGGGCCAGTCGCGCACCAGAGCTCTGCAGCACCTCTATAGTGTGTAGTCTGTGTAGTCTGTTTCCGCTCCGCACAGCTGCTGGGCTTGGGATGCCAGAATTCTAAATGGGATGTTCCTGGCATCCAAGGTTGGACCGCTGCATCTGGAACTACCAGACCAATAGCAACTGCGTGCAAGATCTAGATTGCCGTCACGATGCTTGCCCGAAATCTATGTCGCCGTCCACCACCTGAAGCATGCAATGCGTCATAGACGGCTGCCTCGCCAGCCTTTCATGCTGGCGAACAGGGGACGTTACAATGCAGTGGAAGGAGATGTGTGCCCAATATGCATCGTTGACGATACCGTCAGATGCAATCCCGACTCCCTAACTCCCTACAGGTCTCCACGCGTCACGGTCTTGGCGTGCCCACAAGTGGACGCAAGCTCCTACTAAGGTCCGGGTTCATCACAAGCCCACCCGTGAGCGAGGCTCGCCTTCCGAATGCGACAAGATCAAATTCCGGCCGCTTGGGTGCACGCGAGACTCGACCTCCGCCTAGGCCCCATTCTTCAGCTTTCATGCTGAAGCTCCCCACTGTACAAGAGTAGCATCCTCAAAGCTGGGCCCCCAACACCGGATCAGAGCATTTAGAAGTCTTCTTGAAGCCTGAAGCCGAGTCTTTCAACGTGCTTTGACCCAAGCTAGGAGGCGGCGTGAAGACCTCCTGCGGCGGCAGAGCGAAGTGGCTGAGACCGAATGTGTTCTGTTTCTTAAGGCTTTCTCTTTCTATCAAAGTTTGTTGGGGCGCAGGGTAAGGCTGCCAGAGTCCGGAAGTAGGGTCTTGGGCTTGGCAGTTAAGCCTTCGGGATGCTCGTGGTCCCGGGCCTCACCCCAAACCTCCAAAGCGGCTCAGGTGCGGCCGCCTCCCTCGGCCGAGGAGCAGCGGCTGGCCAGAGAAGGCCCGGCCGTGTTCAAAGAGTTTCTCAGCACTGCTCAGACTCTTTGCGGCCGCGACTCCTTCCCGCCGGCCCAGAACGCGCAAGTTCGGGGAGTCCTTTCTTGCCCGTACCGAAAGAGGGACCCTCATTTAGAGAACTAGCCGTCAAGACCCTATTTGGCGTTTCAAGCAACACGAGATCTACCCCCTTTTTCCTTCATCTTAACACCCTCTTACCGGGTCCCCTGATCGCCTGAGCACTCCAGGGTTTAGGGTTTATAGGGTTTCGGGTTTAGGGCACTGTATGTGGCAAGGATCTGGAAGCGGCTCCAAAGTCTCTAAACATGCGCAGAATCAGCTCCTGAAGGCTTCGGGCTTAGCGCGATAGCTCCAAAAGCCCTACTTCCTCAGGGTGCACACGGCCTTGAACACGACCCCAATGCTGAAAGCCATGCTCCTTAAACCCTCAACCCCAAGCCGCGGCCCAAAGTCTTGAAACCTAAACACGCCCGGACCCTCAACCGACTTTCAGGCATGCTAATACAGAGGCCTTAATGATTAGAATATGGCTTTTCGGGCCCATTCTGCTATACTTATAAAAAGGGACCCCCAAAATAGTACAGGTAGTGATTTAAGCTGCCCCTACATTATTCTGGGCTGTCCTTTCCTCCTTCCTGCAAAACTGCTCTCCACAACAACCTAGAAAGGTATGCACACACGGCCCATGCAGCAGCCCGCACAGTCCATGCAGCAGCCCGCACAGTCCCTGAAAGTTCCGACCGCTGGTCCGCGTCAGGCAAGCTGCTGAAGCATCTGGCTGGGCTTTGCTTGCGGGCTGCTGAGGCCTGGGAGCGATCTAAGAGAGCTGGGAGAGGCTTCAGACGTGACGTGCCGGTCTTCCAAACTGATGCCCACCATCTCGAGGCTTCGACTGCGAAGGTGGCGCTCCAGAAGCCCTCAAACCCTCCCGAAGTGGATAGTAGCAGGTTTCACTCCCTGTCGCTCTCCATTCTCGCACCGCAGTTCAGTGTGAGGGACCGAATCCAAGCATCCTCAATTCAAGGACTGGGGTTCGAAAGCCGTGTGCAGGGTGCAAGGAGGCATGAAGGCTTGTACCGGCACAAAAGAGTCTTGGGATCACCGACGGTTGCGAGCGGAGTGCCCTTCAGGAAGCCAGCGATGAGCAAACCACGCTGCTTCTGCTGGATTGCAAGTTTCCACCGGAAGCTTGGCACTGTCAACAGGCGATTTTCCTTCTCATCGTCCCTACCCCGCCTGAAATGGTCTTCACTTGTGGGAATCAACCTGCTGTTTGGCTCACCATCCTGTGAAAGGCTTGGCTAGGTGCAGTGGGCTTCTATAGAACAGCTGAGTCAACATCGAGACAATGCAACGCACTCGTAGACGTCTTGAGTTGTTGACAGCTGTTCCGCAACTAGGCTTAGACATGTTGTTCTGCCGAGGTAGAACAAAACATCCGCATCGTCGAGGACGAAGCAGACGGAGGCGACCCCAACTACAGTTAGCATGTAAGAAGTCGGAAAGTAACACAGAAGACGTTAGGCCCCGGACCCCGATTCGTTTTCATCACGAGGCTGGATGTGAGCATAGAAGCTTCCCGACCCTTGGCCACCTTGTGTCGACTCGTTGTCCTTTGCGCTGCTAGTCAGGCTATGTTCTCCTGAAGCAGGGCGGTCGGCCACGCTGGCTGCAGATGCGGGGTTTATAGGTTTAGGATGTACAGGGGTTCTTGATGCTTCCAAGAGAGCTACGGCAGACTCTGGCAGAGTCAGAGTTGAGGTGTGCGCACGCGGAGGGCGATGAGGATCCAGAGATGGTGCCCTCCCGGGGCTCAGGGTTCTTGTCAGCAGGGTTTTGGCACTGTTCTTTTGAGAGGCAGGCCGGCCAAGCTCGAAATGAAGAACCGCAGGCACTCTCAGAAAACGAGCAGCGGCTCAACTGAAGAATCGCTGGCGAGATCCCGAGAAGAGTTGATACCCGACTAGAGTGACTAGAAAGTGGAAAGCAGGCGCCTTCTGAACCGAAGCTGGGCTTCCCCGTGCAGTGTGCCGCTGGGACGGAACTTTGGTTTGAATGCACGGCGAGAGTGGTCAGCCCGTGTAGGCTGTGGTTTTGGAGCCGAAGTCCCTCTTCGGTCTCGCAGGGTCGGGAGAGTAGAAGGATAAAGGTGCTGGAAAGAAGCCCACAAGTCGACTGTGGTTTGCTTGCCGAACAGTCTCTCAGGAAGTCGAGCCCTTTCGCTACGCAGGCAAGTGCTGACACAATTAACATTTCCGGTGGCATGCAAAAAGCAGCATCCTAGGCTTCCACTGCAGCGCATGTCCGCTTCCGGAAGCTTCCATCGACTGCGAAGACGGGCAGCTTCGTCCTTCAGCACGTGGCGGGGCACGCAAGGCGAAAGACATTGGCCGTTCGGTGGTTCGATGCTGGAGTCAGGAGTCCTGAGTCGAGTCCGGGATTTCGAGTCTGCAGCACCCACGAGATCGGAGGGACCGGGCGTGTTTGTCAGGTTTCGCGGCCTGGACACGTGAAGCAAACTAGATCAGTCGCTGGTTCTTGTCGCTACACCGCGAAGCCTTGTTGTGTCAAGGATTCTCGACGATGCGTTCATCCCTACGAGGGTGCCGTGAATCCTCGGGAGACGGGGTTGGGATGGATAGGTCGGATAGGTCTTCCTCAGCATCATGGATCTCTGTGGTAGAGCTTCCTCCGCAGATTGACTTTGTTAGCGTGTTTTGCTTTTTCCTTCGAGAATGCTCACTGAGCATACAGGTCGAATGTTGAGGGAAAGGTAGTTTTTGTCACTTCTCCTGCCATCATTGTCCTGAGATCATCATACTCATAATTGTCATGAGACCGTTGTCCTGATCTTGATTCCGATGAGTGTTGCTCCGATACCGCGATTTTTACGGTTTCCAAGTCATCAATAATGTTATGATGGTGATCCTCAGGCATACATGCAAGGAGACGGAGGGCCCTGCATGCAAAGCAACATTCCCCACGTGTTTGTTTATGTGTTTGTTCCCAAAAATCGGCGTTGGGATTCGTACACTTATATTATGTTTGTCATATGCCTTCCTCGGGCTGAGTTAGCTCTCAGTAGGACAAACCTCGCCAACCTCAGATGCTGGGACAGCTCCATTCAGCAAAGCTGAGTACCGGAATACCTGATTCCTAAGCCCTTGGTCTTGCGTCCCCAAGTTCCCAAACTTCAGCTCCACCAGGAGAAGACCGACTTGATCTTGCATCCCGATTGTGACCAAAACCGGCCAGCGCTGGCATTCCTCGAGGAGACGGCATGGCTGCCTCGTGCGCGCCTGTCTCTCTCTCGCTCTCTCTCATTCATATATATATATATATGGGTAGTGTGTAGGAAGAACAAATAGGGCAGACGCAAGTTAGTTTAGACATAGAAAACAAACCTTTTACATGGTTTATTCCGTTTAGACACACAAAACCAAACTTTCGAAGTCCCGGGTAGGTGCAGGTCCGTTTAGACATAGAAACCAAACCTGTTGTAGGGTTTATTTAGTTGAAGATGCAGTCCTGCTTGTCGGGCCAAACAAGTTGTGATGCAACCATGGCGCAGGGAATGCATCTTCGAACTTCGCCTTAAATCTCGCAAGGTAAGCTAAAGGGCCAAACAATCGCCATCAGTGATATTTGCTTATGTTATACCATTTCATTTTGTTTTATTTGCTTTTACCCTTCTAAACGAAAGCGTGTGACTTTGTTTTCCTTGTTTGCCGAAAGAGGGCTGATTGTAGTTTTCTGAAATCTTAACCTTCGTATTCAATGATGTTTCACTTTATTTTTTCCTCGTTTGTTGCTCCCTGAAACGAAAACGTGTAGCTTTCTCATTTTGGTTTCTTTGCTTTCGCTCTCGGAAGTGCACACGTATGACGTAGTATCTCGGGAATTTGTGTCCGAATTCGAGTCGTGTCATCTTCCTTTTCTGCGCTTTTAGCCTTCCTAAGGCGATTTCGTGTGGCTTCTTCCTTCATGTTGGAGAAAATGTTTTTGTTTTGTTTTCGACTATACAGGATTTAACTACACTGCCATGATGAGTGCTTGCACCCATGGCGGGATGTGGCAGAGCACCCTTCGGACGCGCGCTCAGGATCGTGTTGTTGCTGCTGTTTGAATGTTCTTCCCGCTCTTCTCGTTCGTCTTATAGGCTGCTTCCTTTTACACACTTGCAGGCCAACCTTCGTCTTGTCGGGACTGTTGTGCTCAGGCTGTTGGACATGTTGCAGGCTGCTGGCGAAGCGCCAGGGACCCTTGTGGCAAAGTTTGGTACATGCGTCGTGGATTGCTCTCCAGAGGCCCAACTATGTCACCATGACGGCAGTGCTTCGGCCTCAGAACTATGCTCGCAGCCAGTGTGTTTGAAGTTCGCGGAATTTCGATCAAGGCTTGCATGACAAACACCAACTGGGCTGCCAGCTTAGATCTTGAAGCCTCCGTTCGAGCTCTGTGCGTTGAACTCCCGTTTTCCCAGACTTTTGCGCTGCACTGGAAGAGCATTCTGGGCAAGCTCGGTGGCACTGGCATTGATATTACGAGCCTCGGAAGAGCATTCAGACACTTGGAAGTCTTTCTGGTCGTGCTCGAGGCGTGAGTGGATACTTCACAACCTACACGTACCTCATATGGCTCTGTGCCGAGGTTGGGTCGCAAGTCTACCAGTAGCGTCCTTGAGAGTGGTCCGGTCTCAACACCATGCGTGCAGGCGGAGCAATGGAATTGGGTGGAGTATCTGAGAGCCGAAAGTACCACCAGGCGCAGCCATGGAACGGCAAGTCTCGCGACGATGGAGCTTTGGTTCCTGTCAGGTTTCCGGATGCGGGGAACTTCGATCAACGCCAGGTGAGAGGGTTTGCTTCGGAGCTATTCCTCTACGAGATTAAACCCAAGAGCATAGCCAAACCATCACCTACTGCTGAAGTGATGTCTCCATTGACGTACCTTGCGGGTGGTATCTTGAGTTTGTTGCAATTCCTCGTTTCGCAGTCCACCCTAAAACCCCAAACGAAACATTATGATCTCCGAACCGGTGTCATTGGCAGGAGCTGGACAGCAACACCTTGTCCTCCCTCGCTCTCCGTGTCGAGGGTGACGGCCTGGGAAAGATCAAGTCAGCCAGCCTTGCTTTTCCAGAAGTCGGATCAAGGCACAGGTTGTGGGATCTATAGGGTTCAGGGTCTGGGATGTAGGATTTTGGCGCTTACACGGTTTTAGGATGTAGCGTTTTGGGATTTATAGGGTTTAGGGTTTAGGATGTAGGGTTTTGGGATTTAAAGGGTGGGCCCAGAGTTAGGTTAGGCACAAATGCTGCAGAGGGCCGACACTTCCTTGCCCTACCAAGGCCGAACACACTTTCGTGCGTTTCGCTCGAGCCCTGTAGGCCCTTTAGGTCGAGGTTGTTTGTTGGGGAAACCCGCATGAAAGTGGCATTGTTGAATCTATGCAGCCTGACGAGGAACACTGATAGCAATGCCCAAAATAAATGATAAGGGCCACTTTAGCCCCCGGCGAGGGAATGAAGACCCCTAGACGCTTAACCCTAAGACCCCGGAGCCCGAACGCCCTTAAACTCCAAGACGCCGAAACCCTAAACCCTTAGCTCCAACACTGCGTCCGTGACCTGCCAGGAAGATGATCTCTAGCTTGGTGAACCGTCTGCAGGAAGAAGCCGCAGCAGACACCGAGAAGGCGCGCAGAGGGTTTAGCGTTCAGGGCTTTGAACCTGGCCGGGCGAGCTCCAACCAAGCCTGTGTAAATGTGCAGGTTCGCAATTTGTGGCACTGTGGTGTAGGGCTATCAGTTTTTGGGAAGGATCTTAGTAGAGGTTAGGGTTCGGCAAGATTTTAGCTGGGCTTCTTAAACCTTTCGAGGGGTTGCGAAAGCCCCAACAAATTGCAGCCTCATGCCTTGCTAGCTCCATGTGCCCCAACTCTGTTCCAAGAGGCCCCCTGTAGCAGCTTCGTCCGTCAAGGTTTAGTGCATTGATGCAGTGATGTATGGAAGTGTCAGCATGTTGCGGTTGGGATTACTGTAGACAGGACGGTCATAATGATGCTATCGAAGGCGATACTTGTAGTGCAAGTGCAAAGCCTGTGGAGTCTCAGCTGCAGCGCGAAGCCAAGGATCTTCTTGCAGCTCCGGCAACCGCAGCTTCGTGCGGAAGCCCCGACCTTGTCCCCCCGCTGCGAAGCTGTGCTGTGCTGTGAGGACTATCGACATGCGCTGCCTGGGCGCCCTTTATTCTCGAGCACATAGCAAGAGGCCTCGGAGGTAAACGCGTCGTAGTTGAACCAGCATGGTGACAACCCGGCCGGTTCGTTGGCTTGCGCTGTGCCAGTTGGCGGTCAGCAGAGAGGTGATTCCGGATCCATGCGGCGAGAGCTGCGTCAGTCGCCCAGATGCAGGTGACACTGCCTTGTTGCAGACAGCGAAAGCCTCTGGCGAGCCCATCTCTTCGAAAGAGTTTGCGGAGAAGATGCAGTGCGATGCACAGGAGAATTCCTTCTCTATCACCGGAGGTGACTGGACTTTCGTCTTGGGCAATTTCCAAAGCCCTGGTATCCTTTGGGAGAACCTTCTGGTGAGTTGGGAGAAGGGAGGTCCTCACAAGGAGTACTTTGGTATCGATTACACGTTCATGTCGCAGACTTATAGCGTCACGGACTACCTGACTGTCTCCTCTTATCTGGGGGTGACGCTTCTTCCCATGACGCTCTGGGCCTCCCAAGTCATCAAGCTAATTCTGCCGTTGCCCTTTCCCACTGGTTGCAACGATTTCTGGCAGGAGCAAGGCTTCAGCGGCCTCTACATCTCGCCGCCATGGCATTGAAAAGCCCGGGCTTTGACGACGCAGGCTGGCCGCGATCCATGGACCCCAAGGATCTCATTGTTGACAGCTTGACCTTCCGCATCCGTGTCCAGCCAAGGCTGAAGGTTCTCCCAGGCTGGTATCCGCTGGCTTGAAATAATATAAATATAGGGATGTGCCACGACATAGAAAAGGGGACAAATGCTTTTTTTTGTTGCACGGACGACTCTGCTTGAAGCACCGGTTTCGACGATAAAGCGAAATTTGTGCAGGTGAAAGCCCGGATGCCCCGCCGACCATGGAGGTGCGCTTGCAACTCTTTTTGGAGCTCCGCCCTGTCTTCCGTACCCCCGGGCCGAAGCCAACCACGATGACCACGACAGCGAAGCCATATGACCGCCGACGCCGTGGTCACTTTGATCCCGCACCGCCTGAGGTTGAGAGGTGGTGCACAATACATCTTGTCCGAGTTGCTTGCGGTGTCTGGCTAAGAGTCCTCGTCAATCCATTGTGGACCTGCGTCAGATGCTGTAAACGAGTGCCCCGTTGCGGACCCTGCACCTTCCAGTGTCCTCCTGGCTCCCACCTCCTATCCAACAGCTCCGACTCCGAGGGATCCCCGAGCATCAGCTACCAGGTTAATGGGCTGCCAGGGGTTGATTTGGATGCTCCAGGCGAGCTCAGCGAGCTGGAGTGGTTTGCAGAGTCACCTAAGTGGCCTGAGAACTTGACCATTCCTGCAGGATTTCTTTTTGACACCCCTGACTTGCGCAAATTGCTCTCCACAGCCGAGAGGCAGCGAGTGCAAGACTTCGAGGAGACCGTGGATGAGGAGACTGTGCCCCCAGAAAATGTGTCGGTCACCGACGGCGACTGCCCCGTGCCTTTTGCGATCGGCGGCGGTTGCAAATGCACGAGGGGCTGCTCTCCGCTGCCCTACTTGAACTCAGACTTCACATCGGACACGAGCCTTTCCTGCGAGGGGCAACGGCCCCCACCTTACGGCCCGGTGGCCCTTCACAAGACGATATGTGGGCCTAGGAGGGTTCATAAGGAGTTCGCACTGGGCAAGACAACGCAGCTCGACGGAATCTACGCGAGGTGCAAGGTGGGAACGTTGATAGGTGGTGCTTGCAGTAAGTTTCTGCCATATGATGGCGCCGAGATCCTAGCTGCGTTTCCTGAAGATCGGAACATGTTCCGATGCCTCGGAACTGGTGAGTGGAGTGAGGAGCCAGTCCACGAGACAGTGGCCCGTGCATGGTGTTTGGAGCTTGAGGGGAATGAGAAGGTCATCATGGTCAGGAGGGAAGGTCGTGACAATGCTTCTGCCCAATGTCCTGATGGTTATCAGGTTGTGGGAGGGGGGTGCACCTTTATCGAGGGGACGGAGTTCACGCTTCGTGAGTCCTACCCAACATCCCAGAATACATGGGAGTGCGTCTTTGACTCGACACGGTCCTGTGGCGAAGGAAGTCCGGTGTGTTTGCGCAGTGAGGCTCGCGCTATGTGCCTGGGCATTGCAAGTGTACAGTAATTACCTCCAATTTTCCACGGCATGCCTAACAGTCCAAGCTGTAGCATATGTGGCCAACTGCTTCCTTTAGAGCAGGGATGCTGTACAGAGAATGCTGAAGCCTTCCCTGTGTCTGCTCAGACATGCCTGACAGTAAGATGTAGCATGTTGCTGGCCTACATCGGGTGATCTCCTGTCAGGGTACCTTGAAGGTGCAAAAAAGCACCGAGGCATGTTCCCAAGATGACGCCCATCTTGCCTTATTCCGCGAATTGAGAAATGCCTGCATTGCTATCCGCATGGAGCACTAGCCAGAAATCTCGCCCACGCGAAATGACTTCCATGTCAGGAGCATGAGGATGCCCTCGATCGATTTCTTCAGGCCAGAGGGGCGGCATGTCGTAAGTCGTAAGCTCGCAAGCTTTGTGATGCCTGGTGATCTACTGAGAGCAGATACACCAGCAGAGGGCCGATTGCCTTCGTTTGGCATGTGCTTGTGCAGCACAGAAAGAATGGTGTACCATGTTACCGAACGGGGGACTTTCTTTAGATGCCAAGCTCCCAAGCTCCTGGGCCTCCCGGCCTGCCAGAGCCGCAAGGAGCTGGATGGCAGCGTGGCAAGCTCTTCAGCGCAGATGCGCTGCAAGCTTAGCAGGACGATGCAGGACTCTTGGGTCAGATCCCTGCGCTGGCAGTCCTGAGATGAGGTGACGGATTGGGTGACTCTGAGCAGCTGCACGGTCTTTCCTGGAAGCTCCCGGGTGGCAGGCGGTTCCCGGGCCAAGCTGAAGCCAGACTCAAGCGCCAAGGGCCAAGCGGGGCCATGGGCCCTCGTTTGGGAGGTCCCGTGGGAGGTTCCCTTTGAGGCGTCCTTGCCACCGCTGCAAACACTCCGCTGCAAACACTCCTCCGACGGCCAAGCGGAAGGCTCCGGCATGCTCCGGGTGAGCTGAGCTGCAGTTAAGAGTGGACCAACTAAGTTTCCATCTTGGCCAGGCAGATAACACTGGGCGGTTGCCAGACAGAAAGCACTGAGCCTGCTACCTACTTGGTTCCGCCCGGGTGGTTAGAGCAAGTTGGGTTACCTTGAAGAACTCGCCTTTTGCATGCTGCGGACCCCGAAAGCTTCAGCAGCGTCATCGGCACTTAGGTGGCGGAGAAGAGGCGCGGGTCCTGATTTGGCAAAGGTGCAGAGCCCCCTTGTGGCTCTTGTGCTTGGGAAGCTCGATCTCGCCGAGGTCGACTGTCCCATCTGCTTCCATCTGCTTCCCAGCCTGCGACTTGCTCGGCCGTGGAAGCAAGGCGCTTAAAGACCGCAAGGCTTCTGCAGGTAGGTGGATATCATCGGGTGGCTCCTGCCGACAACCAAGGCGATCGGGTGGAACTTCTTTCTTGTTCTCATGAGGGCGTCTCAGCTTCTGTGTTCTGTTGGCATTGGCCGGCATTTGTCCAAAGCTTCAGGTGTTTCAGCGCTGCTGCCTGATGTCCTTCGAGTCCTTCCATGTCTTCGAGGCCAACAGCATTTGCTCGTCTCCGAAACTCGGGAATCATTCGGATTTTGCCTTTGCACGTTCCGCTCAGAAGCCATCTCTGCGATCTTTGACAGTAGCTTGGGGCAAAAATATCATCCTATTCTATAGTATAAAAAGTCTCCAGAAGGATGATCTACTTGTTAATGCCCCTTTATTGGGGAGGGATCCCTCACTTAGGGGTCGGTTTAGGGTCTGTTTGAGTCTCTTTTGTGCTTTGGAGACTCCCCCATGTTTGGGTGGCTTTGTGCTAGAGCGCCGGCACTTGAAACACCCAAGAGCTACCAAACCCACCTCTTCATGCTACACAACCCAGAGACTCCAATATCCCTTAATTAAGGAATATTATACGTTAAGTTATAGTAGGATGCCTAATGAGTTAAGAATATTCCTCAATTAAGGGATTTTGGAGTCTCTGGGAGCTGTACGTTCTAGGCTTGTCTCTTCAGCTGTGCGATGGCGCATTCGGGATTTGATCGCATTGTTCATTGCTTCTGGATTCCGGAGTCTGTGGGGAACGTCCCTAAACCCGAACCCAAATCCAAAAGAACTCAACAGGCTATTCTTGAAGAATAAGGGTTGTTCGTACACGATTATACTGATTTTACCGCTTTTAAGTTGGCATTGCCCCGAAACCCTGAACTGCAAACACTAATCCCTTTACCCTGATTCGTAAACCCCGAATTCCTAAAGCCTAAACCTTCAACCCCAATGTCTAAAGCCCCAAATCCTTAACGCTTGGTCCGTCTTAGCAGGCACTCATCTCGCACCCACGGGAGCTGATACCGCCCTTCACCCACCAGATGACGAAGGAGGCCTGTTTTGGGTAGGGTCTTGGGTTTAAAAAGGGATTAGGATTCGGGGCTAGGGTTTAGGGTTGGGGTTTAGGGTTGCCTACGCCTACGCAAAACCAAATCCCTAAACCGCAAGCCTCTTCCTTCGGGTTTTTCATATAGGTACACTATAATATGAGCCACAACTTTTTTCTAGTTCTTATTCGAATCACTTATCTAGGACATTTTCAGGTGGGTAGTCGCCGTTATAGGAGCCTTATAGAAGGTCTATATACCTTATAGGAGCCCTACATACCCTAAACTCCCCA